GACATCTTTGGATCGACAAGGCCCGATCCATAGTCAATCCCTACTACGTGGGGTAACGCGATTTAGTGGAGTCAAACTCCGGTGGGGAAGGCGGAGTCAAGTGGACTTAACCACTTGACTAAAGGCACATCCCCCAAATACATTTTGTTTAGTAGCCAAAATAAGATAAATTGGTCTACAAGTGACGTACGAGGGTTTATAAGTGAAATTAAACAATGACAATTGTATTCCGCTGATTAACAACATGAATCAATATCATGAATAAATCTCTTTCATGCACTGAATTACGACTCATGGAAATACGTGAAAACTAAATTTGCTTGAGAAATTGTAAGTGTGATTTAATAGTAGCTTAAACAAAACCTAATTCGAAACATTTATCAAAAGATTTTTTTAAAACATTTATCGATTTTTTTTATAAGTTTACATAAAAATGAAAATTAAATCGTGCGCAAAATGCACTAATTAAATAAAAATCTTCCATAACATAACGGCATCCTAATGAAAAGGACAACGTGAAAGCGTTATTTCTTTCGCTATAAAATAATCTTTGGTCTTTTCGTACTTCAACGTGTTCTCAACAAGACATATTATATACTATAAATGAGAAAATTGAAGTTGGATCAATTCAGATTTCATACAAGAAATTCAGGAGTCAGAATAGCATCTTCTACGTCCAAACACGACAACACGTGTATACACCTATAAGTCTACTAAGAAACGTTGTTAATGAATCAAAATCAATATTTTTCTTAGTCTCTGATTTGGAAGTCGACGTACGACATAACCCACTAACCTTATAAGTTTATGTTTCTCTACATATAAATACAAAAATTTATCAAACTTATAAAAGAGTTTCGACGACCAACAAAATGATCAAAAGAAAAGAAACATATATATACGTTGTTTGGTTATAATGTTGATTGTTCTCTTGTTCTTTGCACCATCAACACATAATCTTCACTCGATGACCATCTAATCATAAATCTCTCAATACAAGTAAGTTTCGAATTATGAAAAACCTTTTCTTTCGTCTGTCGATTTGGATTTCTATTTCTTAGAAATTACTTTGAAAAGCTTTGTTTTGTTGGAAAAGAAATAGGAGAAGAGGTTGTTTGGGATCAAAAACAATAAGCTACTGTAGAGTGTAGATGACCCATAAAAGACAAAATAAATTTAAAATGTCCTCTAAATAAATCATGCCACAAGCAAAGTAACCAATTTCCTACCATATATACTCATCTTCATTTTGAGTTGATTCTTTTACTCAAGCTATGCTTCCGCATTAGTGAGCCTAATTATTTATTTTTCTTAATGTTGCCCACAATATAGTACTTTAAAATAAGCAAATCTCTTACCAAACTTAAAAAAAAAACTATGTAGACGTAAATAGTATTTAATTTGGGAAATAAATTTAGTGTAAGGTCAGAATTTCGGATGAATCCCAAATATTCCGCATTTAAATATAGTAAGATTTTTAAAATTGATATAATAAAATAAAAACGAATTAATGTTTTAAAAAAAAATTAAAAGCATTTAAGTCAAAATGGAATTAATTGGGAGCATATCATAATGCAATTGATTCCTCAAACAGCTCAACATTTCAAAATGTCGAATCATCCGCTCCTCCTCCTCCTCCAGTAGAAGCTAGCTCCTTCCTTCTCAATTATGGCGACTTCTGCTTTCAATTCAACGATGAAGCGAACGACGTCGCTAGCCAAATCCTCAGAGAGTGGCGACGATTCTTCTTACTCTACACGGAGGTCTGCTTCGAGAAGACACCGGAGTTTGAGCCGTTTCTCTCACCGCATGCCGGATCCAGAGATCGAAGTGACTCCGATGAGGAAGGGAAAGTTTGTTAACACCGTGAGAGGTTCTGGATTCGGTGAAATTAGTCTTGATGATTTAGCTGTTGAGTTTTTTGAATCGTTTTCCGGTGAGAGTGAGATTAGTAGCGGAGAAAGAGGACGATCTGGTTTAAGAAAGTCTGGTGGTGGTAGCGGCGGAGGTGAAGGAGAGGTGGAGAATTCTCTAAGGAGGGGACGGTCTGTTTCTAGGGTTTGTTCTGGTGGTAACGGTGGTTTACGGAGGTTGGGGGCTGATACTGAAAGCTCGAGACGGCGGAGGTCGTTGTCTAGACAGCCGGAAAGTAATAATCGTGGTGGTTCAGTTAGGGTAGATCCGGTGAGCAACAATTCGAGCCGGCGGAGGTCGGTTTCTAGACAACCGAGGGAGAAGGTTAAGACAGAGAACGGTGGTGGTGCAATTGGGGGAGATTGTGAAATCGCGAATTCAAGGCGGGGACGGTCGATTTATGTTGTCCGTCGTCGGATTGAGAATTCGGAGGTAAAACACTTTTGTGATTGCTTACTTTGTTGTTTGATGATATCTTTCTTATTATATAGTTTCTCTTGGGCCCTCTTGAGTGGTGTGATGTGATGCAATTTATGAGGAACCTATTTACCTTTTTAGTTAGAATTGGAACTTTAGTAGAAAGCTATAATTATCAAAATCCATTACAATTATGAGACAACTTTGTAGCAACAGGACCATAATTACAACTTTATGAATCATATAAACAATTGTAGCATTTACCATCTTAAATTAAATCAGTAAGAGCAGTGTATGAACATTTTCATTGTTGTGTGCATTTGGCTTGTTGGTAATGAGTAGTGATTTGTATTTGGGTAGTGTATTGTATATTGGAGGAGTGTGATCGACATGAATTATTTTACATTTGCAGAGTGATGTAGATCAAGTTCAGTATTCAAGCAGTTCAAGGGATGTGAAAAGCTTCATAAGTGGAAAGAGTCAAAATAGTGGTTCTCAGAAATCTGTGGCTTCAGATAATAGACAAGGTCTTAGGAGGTCTTTTAGTCAAAATCCAGTCAAATACCATGATGGCTACTCTGTAAGTCTAAATATACTTTGGTTTTATGGTATTCTATCCTTGTTTAGAAATCGTTTTGTTGGTTAATCTTTTTGTGTATGATATATTCTGGTCTAACTCCATACGCTAGAAATGTTATAGTTTTTGTTACTGATGGGGAAAAATTGTCTGGGATGTTACAGAGCCAGTCTTCTGCAGTCACAGATGATGAAGGAAAGGATTCCAGCTCTACCAAGCATGGAACTGAGAGGATAATTCGAACAGTATATGCCCAAAATAAGGTTTGTGGGTATTCAACCAACTATTATTTTTTATTTATTTTTCTCAGCACTACATTAACTTACTTATATATGAGTGCTCACTCTCTGCTTGAAACCATTCTAGTCCTATAAAAAGGATAGATCTTTCTGGATGTTGCTTTAAACTGAGAGAATCTGAATGAATAAGATTTTATAATGGTTAATTAGATATGATGACTAAATTTAACAATATCCTATGACTGTTTTTATTGTTGTATTATTGTTGCTTTAATGAACATGTTAAACAGGCAACACCAAAGAAGAGAGAATCTTTGGGGAACTCCGAATATGGTTCCCAGCGGAAATCCCATGATGATCACCGTGCTGTCTCCACATTTACGAATGGTTATGCAACAAAATTGCAGGAGGTACAACTTCTATATGCATCTATTTGGTAGTTTCTTTCATTGAGGAATCAATGACCAAATATACAACACTTCTTTTCCCCTTGAATTGACAGTCTGAGGAGCGCAAGCGAGATTTGCTGGCTGAGATTATGTTGGAGGAGGAGCGTGGTAGAGAGCTCTCTATGAACTTGAAAGAGTTACTTACTGAAAATAGTTCTGAAGCTGAGGAGAAGCCGTTGCGGACGCGAAAGGTGAGTATTACAACTCTCAGAACAGCATATGTTCCTCTTCAGGTTGGCTCTTTGCATGAAAAAGATAAAAAAAATTCTTTCTTTTTCTGACAGAGGAGCAAGGACCGGAGCAGCAGGATGTCCATGTGTTTGGCAGATGAAGCAGAGCAATTCATTGACGAATTCATTTCAAACATAGAAGACACAGACTTTTCATCACTGGAGGATGAGAGGAGCGAAAGTAGTTCAAGTTTTGGGATGATAAAAACACAAAGCTCTCAAGGCACCACTGCTCTGAAGAGTATTCCTGTTGAAATGGACGGTGTTATGCTTCCATGGTTGCAATGGGATACTCCAGACGACACTTCTGCTGCTGCATTGGCATGCCTTAACAAGTCGCCACACACCCCAAATACAAAATCTCTTCTCTGGGAGTCGGACACAACTCAGGTAACAATGCTTTTTGCCCTTACGGGTCTAAAACTATCACTTGATTAGATAGATGACTCGTAGAAAGATTCTGGTTTGTATATTCTCTGAAACGAATGTGTTTGGATAGGATGCATCGAGTGGGCAAGGGATGAGCATTGGTACCATAAGTAGCAGAGGAAGCTGGAGCCCATATGAGTCAGTCACAAAACCTGTGAAGCCCATAAAAACACTAAAGATAGATGTAGCCGAGTATCTGAAGCGACCTAACAGCTCCGATATTCTAAATGAAACGTGGAAGCTAAGGCACAGAATCAGTTCGGGAAGTCTTGTGCTATGTAGCCGCTCATTGATCTAAGACTTGGTGACCGCAAGCAGTTATAGGTCTGTGTTTTCGTAATCGTCCTTTGAACCACAAAGAGTCAAAGACATGTCTCTGTACAGATTAATTGTGGTCTCTTTGTTTAGGTCGGAGTCGTCTGACTAGTTAAGCGTTAAGTTAACGGCAACTATGCACAGATTTATTACAATATTTTGAATGCCAATGTCTATGAAATCGAGACCTAAGAAATATGGTTTTATTATTGGCTCACAACTGCAAAATCGTAGCAGAGACACAATTGCAAAGTCACTGTACATGTTAAGCTAAGAAAGTAATGCTTGAAGTCCATGAATTTTTCAAGTTAACAAAGTAAATGATTATAGAGTGCATGAATTTGTCAAGATTCATGTTTTTAATATCAAAAAGAACGAAAACAATCAGATTTATGAATTCTTTTTAAACGCTTTTGCAAATTTTCAAGATCTATGAAGAAGTTATCGGCGGGTTAAGTCTTAGACACTCTGCCTCGCATACTTTTATTTTCTTAAACTTTCCTCTGCAACAATGACAATTCCATAAGAAGCTAAAGCTGCTGCAACGTGTTCGAACACACGGTGACTTATATATAACTATTTTGCTTGCGTCAATATCCTCCACCATGTTTTCACCTACAAAAAATCGTATAATTTTGATTTTTAATTAGTGATAAATATGTTGATGATCAACGAGGATATGTATACACAACATACATTCATGAAGGACAAAAGAGGAAACGAAGATGATGCAAAAGATAGCGAAATGTGATGATGATGACATTTGTAGTGATTCTTCTTGCAAAAAAAGGTTTAGTTGTTTGATTTAGTAAGGCTTGACTATATATATGTAAATAAGTATGTAATTAACCATATCTCGTATGTTAATCTCATAAATCCTGTTAGATTTGTTTGATTATCAATCAACCAAATGTCGACTAAAATTAGTTTAATTAAATCATACTAATACAGAAAAGAAGATGACAAAACGAAATTTGATACTTGTAGTTATTAGATCTTTTGCATGCATGTGTCTTTTTTATTAAATGTAATAAATCCTTACTTTAAAATAATCATCCTATTTATATATTTATTAACATAAAAAATATATATTATGTTTTACTTATATCCTTAGCATTTACGTAAGAAAATATCTTTAATTTAGTTATTAGATAGTTCGTAGTTGTTTAAAGAAAAAAATGTTAAGAATGCCTGCTATGATATACAATGTAAAGTTAACAGAGTAATTGATTATGGAGTCCATGAATCTATCAAATTAGTAAAGTACAGAGAAAAATAATTAAAAAATGTGTTTTTCATTGGAAAATCTCGAGTTAAAAATCAAACTAATACACGAAAAACAAAAAACCGTAGAAATTTCATGTTTTCTTTAACCAACCAAAAATTTGAGAATAGTAATTGTTGGAGCCACATATTCATATTATTTTTATTGCGCGAAAAATGTGTGAAACCGTAACAATTAAGGTATTTCTAGTTGTTGTAATTTTGTCGTAGACCTCTAGAAGTTACTATGAGCTAAATATGATTGGCATATTTGTTGGAATCACATATATATTTTTCTTATGATAAAAGAAAGCCACATATATGGCTACAAAATTCATATATTTATCAAAAAGGACGAAAACAATCAGATTTATGAATTCTTTTAAAACGTTTTTGCAAGTTTTCCAGATCTATGGCCTAGGTGGAGGTGGGTTAAGTCTTAGACACTCCTTCTCGCATACTTTTATGTTCTTTGAACAAAACGGATATTTCCCTCTGCAGCAATGACAATTCTTGAATAAGCTAAAGCTACAACGTTTTCGAACACACGGTGATAGATATATAACTATTTTGCTTGCGTTAAGATTCTCCTCCATGTTTCCAATTTCACCTACGAAAAATAATAGATATCTTAAAACAATTGTGGTAAATATGTTGATGAATAACTAACTATAGAGTTATTTATTATCAAAAAAAAAAAAAAAACTATAGGGTTATTTAAAAATAAGGTATTAAAAGTGTGCACTGTGGTACTTTTCACTCTTTCACTATAGTAACGCCTGTTTCCGTATCTCTCTCATCAAAATTGCCTGTTTTTATAAATTTCCCATAACTATCTGGACACATCATACATTCATGAAGAGCAAACAATGATACGATGATGATGCAAAAGATAGCGAAATGTGATGATAACATCGTAGTGATTCTTATCTCAAAGAAATAAGAAATGTTTTGTTGTTTGATTTGGCATGACTATATATATATATATAGCTTCTTCTTTTTTTTTTCGTAAGACATTCCCAAAAGGTTTACAATTTGGACAAAACCACTGTTTTCGAAAGTGGTAAGAAAAAATCGGTACTTGTTCTATATATTTTTTTTTTCACTGAAAGATTTTCATTATATAATACAAAAGACGGATACAAGGGTGGAATGCGTTTTTGGAATACGGTTTTGAAATACAAAAGCCGGCGGAAAACAAAGATATCCCCGGAAGCTAAAGCCCGATACACGGGAAACATAAGATAGGACTAAAGTCAAAAAGTTAAGCTCTCGAAATCATCGGGAAAGTCGGACGAGAACAATAGACGCGGAACTAAGAGCTCAAAAGTCGCAGACTAAAAGACCTATAACCGCAAACGGAGTAGAACCAAGGATAGAGGAAACCGCGAAGAAATAACCCAACTAAAAACGAATATCCCGAGAAAAGAAAACCACAATCGCGAATCTTAATCCTAACCACCTAGTCTTCTACCGAACAAGTCTAAATCTAGAACTTTGCATCCCCACAAAAGGTTAGTCTTACAAGAACAGACAAGGAACAGACCACGAGAGAAAACCTACTTATTATCCTAAACTAGAGGCGGTGGAAAGAGACAAATTAAACTTAAAAGATTCAACGAACAGAGAAGGGATAAAATGAAAGCTATCCAAAACCTAGCCAAACACGACCAATCCCCGGAGCTTTCATGAGATAACAGAGAGCAAAACCATGACCCCAACTAGTCCAAAGACAAAAGCCAACTAAACCCACCAACAACAACTACCACAAGCCAAACACAAACATACAACTACTAACATCCGAAAAGAGAAAAGCGAGATAAGCGTAAACCCGACAAGGACCAGAAACAAAAAGCCTCTGTCACCTCGCAACCACCGGAAACCAAAAGCCGAGAAAGCCACAACCTATCACCCGCTGCAGAAAGCCACAACCCAAAGACAACACCACCAACTCCTGAAGCAGAGATCTTCCGCCACCATTTCCAGATTCGAGAACCATGCCTCTCTTAATCACAACCTTGATAACCATCGCTATCCCTCCACAAAATCGATTTCTTTCTCGAGAAAACCAGATTTGAGAAGAGACAAAATTGAAGTCCATGCCGTGACGAGGAGAGGAATCGCCAATCCAAAGCACCACACAACCCATCCTCAAGCCAAAAGCTCCATCGCAATCGAACCACCGCAACCTAGAAACCCATCTCGCCTTCTCTATTCTTCAATCAGAGCCGCAATAAACTGAGAACAAAAAGCTAAACTAAAGCAGAGACGATGTGACCGGATCCGGTGCTAGGAGAGCCACCGCGATCCTGCCACAGAACCAGAATTTTTCTCGGCGGCTGACTTCTCGAGAGAGAAACAAAACTGAGCTCCTTAGCTCTCTTCTTTAATATTTTTAGGAAAGGCTATTAATGCATTTTTGCATAATTTAATTCATCGGTACTTGTTCTATATATATATATATAGTAAAACCTCTATAAATTAATAACCTCTCTAAATTAATAAATTTTTTCGGTCTCGACTCGGGACCAATGTAAAATATGACATAAATCGATAAATTAATAAGATAATAATTTTTTTGAAAATCTCATGTAAACATATGGTCCCATCTATATCATAAATTAATAATTGTATAAATTTATCAATATATATATATATGTATATTAACTTAATATATATATATATATGATATAAATTTATATATGTCATATATGAATTACTATAATATATATTTAAAATATTATATGTAAAATATTTAATGAAATGGGATTCTATTATTCGAAAAATTTGTGTGTTGTTTTTTAAACTTAATAGTTGCTTCTCTACTTGTAATTGGTTTTAAAAAGATATTGCTTATAAATTTTTTTTATTTTTAGATAGAAATATTTTAAGAAATTACAAAATTAGTAACATCTCTCTATAAATTCATAATTATTAATTTATCGATAAATTAATACCTCTCTAAATTAATAAAATTTTATGGTCCCAATATTATTAATTTATAGAAGTTTTACTGTATATATGTTGATCTGTCTCGCTTGTCTTTTCTTCCCTCCCTCTAATTATCCTCTCTCTATTTATCCCCCATTTTAAGGTACCTATAACCAAATTATACACAACTTAACATTTTTTTAAATATATAAAACTGTTGGCTTTGATCGGTGAACAAAAATAAAGCACTACAAATGGTATAACTTTTATTTTTACTAATCACAAAAGTTTTATCAAAAACTCTTGTAAATCTTTTATTTTTATGTTATATTTTTACTATTTTAAAACTCTTGTAAATCTTTTAAAAATCTTTGTAATTTTTTGAAAACCCCTTGTAAATCCTTTTAAAACCTCTCAAAATCCCTTGTTAATCCTTTTAAAACCATTAAAAACTATTGTAAATCCTTTAAATCATTTTTTAAATCATTTTAAAACTTTTATTAAATCCTTTAAAAACCCTTGTAAATCTCTAAAAACCTTTTGTAAATCTTTTATAAACTCTTATAAAATCCTTTAAAAATTCTTGTAAATCCTTTTAAGACCATTATAAAATTCTTTTAAAACCCTTTTAAATCCTTTAAAACCCCTTGTAAATCATTTAAAATCCTTATAAAATCCTTTAAATTTTTTTGTAAATCATTTTAAAACCTTTAAAAACTCTTTTAAATCTTTAAAATGTAAATCTTTTTAAAATCGTTTATAAACCCTTGTTTATCCATTTTCTGCAAAACATTATGGGATCACGTTTCCCGCCAAAAATAATGGGATAATTTTTTCGCCAAAAAATTTTGACGGAAAAATTTCACTTCTTCATTTTGTTGACTCAAATAAGAGTAAAATGGTCATTAAAAATTAAAAGAGTGCAAAAATGAAAATAGCCAAAAAGAAGCATTTTTTAAAAGGTATCTATCAATATATACATCTACATGTAAAAGGAAAGAGCAACATTCAAATCAATTATCAATTCCTCTGATTTATCTTATCATTACTACTATTATATTCTCTTGTAATTAATTATGATTATATGTCTTCATTAGACGCTGGTTTGGAATGGTTTTTTTTTTCTTTTGGAACGCCAATGAAGTGATCTTAGCCAAGGAAACAAAAAAAAAACTACTAGCACTGGTAATTATATTGTTTGGCAGATTCTCTTGCTAAATAGCTTTGAATTCAGTTATAATAGCTAACTTCTAAGGTTTTGAATTAAAATTCGGTTTGACCAACAAAAAAAAAAATCCATCTTATGTATATTAAAGAAGACTAGATAACAACCCACACGATGTGCGGGATGAAGTGATTTAAGTAAAATTATTATGATTAAAATTATTATCCGGGATCCAAGATCCGTTTGTGTAAAACGAAACATGTTACAATTTTTTTTTGTTTTATTCAAATTTGGGACTATTTCATATAAGAATATGTTTTACCCGTGAAATATTTAAACTTTGAATAAAGCTTCAACGTGATAAAAAAGTATTGACGAAATGTTACCATTTATGGCAATATGTCTTTCCGTATGTTTTAAAAATTTCAAGATTTTGTAGTATAAAAAGAAATTTTTTTTTTTTTAATAAGTATAAGAAATCCAAAATTTAGCAAAGATGAGATTTGATAGTTTCCAAGCTAAGATTTTGTAGTGTTCCAAATCTAAGATTCTTAGATTATGAATGGATTATTTACGAAATAGTTATAATGTGGCCAGATTTTGGTTTATATACAAATGTGGTTATAATGTTTTTCTTCGAAAAGTTAGAACTCCTCCAAAAAATAGGATTTTAAGCATTCGTAACATATATAGAAAGGAAATTATCTTATTTATTTAAGTAAAAAATTTATGAAAGATGTAAAGATTTTGTAGTTTTGAATTCGAGATTCTTGAACCAAATATATATTTTATCATTTAAATATAAACATAAATATAAATATAAATAAAAAGATTGTTTACCCATCCACTAAAGAAAATTTATATAAATGTATATAAAGAAATATATAAATATAAAAATATAGTAATATAAGATAAACAAAAAGTGTATGTTTTTAATTATTAATGGGATATATGGATGTATGAGACTAATGGCAAATTCTGTAAATAGTCTAATAAATCTTGGGTAATTATCTAAATAGAAGCCAAATCATTGTGAGAGCGACACATCAGCGTGACAATCTTGTTAATAACACATGATGGTAAGATTTTTTTAAAAAAATGTTTCTCTATTAATATATAGGGGATATGAGAGCAATAACTTATTACGTATTCTTTCAATTCTAAACCTATCATCATTTTATTTTAGAAGTCGTTGGTAATTGTTTAATATGTAGAGATACTTTGCAATTGTTTAATAAAGTGACTTATTAGTTACACTATTAGAAAGAAAGAAAAATGTGAAAAGCGATTTCAAGTTTATTTCCAAACTGTAAAAAATTATTGCAATCGTCCACGTAGTAAATTTTATATATTTTCTATTACCAACCAAATTTACACACACCAACAAAGAGTGAGGGATTTTCTTGAAAGTGTCATGTAGGTTTGTCCAGGTCACTTTCAGCAAATATCTTTGCATGTAGTTTATGAAGTTCCCACTAAGACATGCAGGGATTTTGCTTGACTCTTTC